ATCTCTCTTCGCATTAGGTGACCAAAGTATCTGAGCTTGAGCTTCATTATCGATCCTTCCAATGAGCAATCAGGGTTGATTTCCTTTAAGATTGACTGGTTTGACCTCGCTAAATCATGAAGTAGCTACACTGGCTGGTTTAGCACAACATGGTAGGCTTAAATGTGGTTGGCTAGCTTGTAGTTCAGTATGTCATGCGAACGTATGTCTGGGCACTTTTTGGATGCACAGACTTGAACTCTCAGAATTTTCAGCAGTGGCCAAGTTGGCTGAGAAATTCTGGGAACTGAAGTTCATATAGCTGGAGGTGCCCTGGTTGGGGAAGACTGGCATAAGAAAACTGACTTTATGATCCAGTTTTGAACCAAGGATTTTCTGGCTCGCATTCATAGAGCAGAGGTATGTACGACCTTGATAAATGCTTTTCACCAGTTCTGCTTTTGCCAAGATAATGTAATATGCAAGGCAATGTTGCCTGTAGCTTAATTCCTAATTTTCTATAACAAATGTCTTGCAAGGTGTTTTTCTTTTTACTTACTTCCACTTTCTGGTTATATTGCCAGGACACACTAAACCACAATGTCGCCAACCACATTTTAGCTAATCTGTGATTAGTTGATTATGTGAAGACAGCCCATGCGATAGGCATGTTTTGCTCTCTCTTGAAAGGCCAGAGAATTGGGTGGAGTAAACCATGGTTCAGTTACCATGGGTAAGTGTCATGTCAACACAGCCCTTGTGTCTACCTTACTAAAAAGAACAGGGAGACAGAGAATTATTTGGAGCACTTGCAGATGGAATAAAAACTTAATGAGAAGAGATTTTCTGCCTCAGCATTGAAGTCAGAGAAAAATTGGGAACTGAACTTCTGTGTTTTCCACATAAAGGGCTGTCTTCTATTTTGAGACTCCATGGGATGTCTCCGTTTTTTTTCTCATTGTGCTGTGGAGGAAATTTCAGAATGACGAATCAGTTTTTCCTCACCCTTAAGCTTTCCATGCCTTCTTTTTTCGCTGAAGAGATTCCAAATGCTTCATTTCTATTTTCGTTAGTCCCTCAAACTTTAGTGAGAAGGTGGCAGATGTTTAACATATTAAATGCATTGATAGTCCCGAGCGCAAGAATTATACAAAAGTTTGGCAAAAGCCATTTGTTATCAGGAGCAAGGCAGGCTCTGTTGCTGGGAGAGCCATTTTGGGGAAGTAAATTGGGGTGGGTGGTCTTGTTGGGGGAATTAGACATGGCGGGAAGAGTACAGTGGTACCTCGGTTCATGAACTTAATTCGTTCCGCGACTCTGGTCGCGACCCGAA